TTTTTTTTTTAATAATTGGAAAAAATTCTAAATACAATAGTAAAAAAAAAATCAATTTTATTGACAATTTTCATGCAAAATAAAGTCAAACGAATGGTATTCGATACGGTAATTTTTTTTTGACAATTGGAACAAATTTTAGATCCAATGTTAGAAAAATTATCACTTTAATTGACAATTTTCATAAAAAAAATCAAACGGATACCAAACTTTCAACATATTTCAGGTGGAAAATTATATCAATAAAAAACAATTAATTACAATTCCCAAAAAAATAATTTTTAAGCAATTCAATTCCCTGTAAAATATTTTTTTTCCACCTATTTTTCACATAATGGACCCTAAGTTCCATAGAAAATATTACCTATCAAATAGGGCCTTAATGCTAATGAACGTATGCAAATGTTCTGATGGGGAAGAAAATAAATGTATCGTCCTCACTCAAAATGATAAAAAAGGGCATTGAGGGACTTGTAAATCGAATTGAAAATTTTAAAATAACAAGTAGCAAATGAAAAATATGAATACTTGTTCGCAGAACAGGCATATGCTTATGTCAATTATTTGCCATGTCTAGGGATTGCAAATTTCCAACTCCCAATCCACCGACAAGTGCTACATGTATATAAATCTATACATAATGATATTCATAATTACATGTGACACTAGATTCAACCATTAATTCAAATCTCACACTTTCACATCAATAACAGGATTTTGTCCACATCACATTATGGACACTATTATGTACATGTAGACTTTTCCGCTAGTTAAATGGGACGAGGTGTGAAATACGATCCTCGCCTTGAATTTTTCGAACTTTGGGTTTTTTTTTTTTTTTGAAATCATAGTTAAAAATTTAAAAAGGGAGTACTTATCAATATACTTAAAAGGGAAAAATTACCTCAAGCACTACATCTAAAGGTTCAATTTCAAAAATTATATGATAGTAGTTTTATTTTCGATAATTAGGTCCTAATTATCTCTTAATTACACACACACATACACATCATATACCTTACAGGCTACAATTATCATCCCTTATTCCATCCTACCCATCCTGTACTGCACGTCCAAAACTCGTAAAACCCCCTCTCTATAACTGTAAAAAACTTGTAAAAAATTCTCTCTCCAATAGGCGTGTTCTCCTGCCCACCATGGGTAGGATTTGACAAAAACATTGACAAACACTCACATGATTGTCGGCCCCACATGAATAAAAAATTGAAAATAAAAAGTGGGCCCCCCTACATGTGAGGGTTTGTCAACATTTTTGTACAAATTCTTTTGTACAAGTAGCAAGGTCCAGGAGAACAATATGCTCACCTCTGACGTGGCAGTACCACCTCAGTGGTGCAATGATGGTTTTCCCCAACTTTTTCCGCCCAATTTTACCCATTCTATACATCCATCTCTTCCCCAGTTATCACCCCACCCACCACACCCTTTTATATATAAATTATTTTCTTATTTTTGTTTTGATTTTTGGGATTATTACGGGAGTGCCAAACGAAGTTGAAATTTGCATTCTTAATATCATTTCGAAATACTCACAACCTAGTTTCTTCTATACCTAACGGCGTGTGAAACGGCCAACTGTAGCAAAAGTTGTCACTCGTCGAAGTAGGCCGTTCAAAATATATAAATGATTTTCCTTATTTTTGTTCTAATTTCTGGGATTATTACGGGATATCAAACGAAATCGAAATATTTCATTCTTAATACAATTTCGAAGTGCTCAAATATTAGTTTCCCTCATCCCTAATGGCTTGCAAAACGGCATACCGTAACAAAAGTTACCACTCGTCGAAGTAGACAATTCCAAAATATATAAATGATTTTCCTTATTTATGAATCAATTTTCAAGGTTTGTACTTCAACGAGACATGACTTTTTTTATAGTTGGCCGTTTCGCACGCCGTTAGGGATGGGGGAAACTAGTCTTTGAGCACTTCGGTATAATATTAAAAATGCAATATTTCAACTTCGTTTGACATCCCGTAATAACCTCAAAAATTGAGACAAAAATAAGAAAAAATATTTATATATTTTGAAACGTCTTATTTCGACGAGTGCTAACTTCTGCTACGGTTAGCCGTTTCGTACGCGTGAACACTTCGATATAATATAAAAAATGCAATATTTCGACTTCATTTGTTATTCCGTAATGACCTCGAAAATTGAGACAAAAAATAAGAAAAATCCCAAATATATTTTCGAACGTCTTACTTCGACGAGTGCTAACTTTTGCTACGGTTGGCCGTTTCCCAATCCATTAGAGATGTGAGAAACTAAGTCGTGAGCGCTTCGATATAATATTAAAAATACAATATTTCGACTTCGTTTGATATCCTGCAATGACCTCAAAAATTAAGACAAAAATAAGAAAAATCCTAAATATATTTTCGAACGTTTTACTTCGACGAGTACTAACTTTTGCTACGGCTGATCGTTTTGCACACTGTTAGAGATGGGAGAAATTAGGTCGTGAGAACTTTGATATAATATTAAAAATACAATATTTCGACTTCGTTTGATATCCCATAATGACCTTGAAAATTGAGCCAAAAATAAGAAAAATTCTAAATATATTTTCGAACGTCTTACTTCGACGAGTGCTAATTTTTGCTACGGTTAACCGTTAAAGATGGGGGAAACTAGGTCGTGAGCACTTCGATATTTAGCATTCCCATAATAATTTCAAAAATTGTGATAAAAACAAAAAAAAAACATTATTTACGTGATAAAGGGATGGGTAATAACTGGGGTGGGTCAAAGGGAAAGGTGGGGGCGAATGTAGGGGAAAAAGCAAAAAATAAAAATAAAATTCAATGCACCGTTGATGTGGCAGTGGCAAACTGTTCTCCTGTCCAACGTGGGCAGGAGAACATGCCCGCTCTCTCCAAATACAAAACCTCTCACATCATTTACTAATGAACCTTTCTCAATCTATCATTTCCATTTACCCACCCCAACCCAACCCAACCCAACCCAACCCAACCCATCTTCCGATCAAATTAATGGAAGCTCATGGTAGCAATAAATGCAATATTGTGTGGGAATGTCGGAGAAGGTGGTTCACAACTGTAGGGCTCATTATTGGCATCGAAAATTGAAACTGAAATGTGCTTGTTTAGCTGGGTGTGAAGAATAGGTTTGTAAAATTGGATTGTGTGTTTTATTTAATGACATAAGACCATGAATAGATGCCCCTTGATGAGTATGGTCGTCAAGTGTAGTGGTACTGGCATGGACATCGCTGGAGAAGGTGGTGCCGCCCAAAAAATAGTGGTGCATTTAGGATAGTATTGGGCAGGAATGTTGGTTAGGGTTTGTAGATGATGTTGAGGTGGTCATGCTAGTGGTAGAGTCCGACAATTTGGGTGGTGGTTGGCCTATGATTGGAGGCTTCAAAGGTGGCGTGTCACTATTCGTAGTTGCCAGCAGCGCGATCTACGTGTGGCGATGGTGGTGGTGCGGCGATGCTCGTGGTGGTGGTGACAGTGGTTAGGATTTGTTGAAAGTGTTGGTGGTGTGCGTTTGGTTCTTAACGTTGTTGGAAGTGGTGGCGACGACGAGAATCGGGTGTGACCAAGTGTATCTTTATTGTGACTGCTCGTGACAAAATCTATGTTAATTGTGGCTGTATGTGATTTGGTTACACATATCCACAAAATTAGAATGACATGGTCACAAATAATCATATTGAAAACAAAGTTGGTCATAGTTAGTCATAGATAAAATAGGTAAGTGAAGGTAGTACTTATGGTCGTGAATTCGAGTTAAATGTAGTAGTTGTGGTAGATTGGAGGTGGAGGTGATGGTG